ATTTGTCGATTTGATTATCATTTCGTATATGTATTGCAACTAAATGTGCATATGCTTATACTGTAGTCGAATTGACAGCGATTTTATTGGCAGCTCTTATGCATGTTGATTCATACAATAAGGAGAATAGACATATTGCGTCCCCTCCTGCTGAAACATAAGAAGGCTCATATCGTCTGTATGACTAATGCTGATGTATACCTGTGTAGGTTAGCTGTTTATGTGTCATTATGATAAACATCTTTCTTTTTAATAAAAGGAAGTAACAACCGTTAAACCATAAACACTGGATTCTATACGATACTTTACATTATTAAGTGTTAGCACATGTTACATATCTCTGACAGAATAATTAACTTCCTGTTGCAACATTTTCAGGAAAATTGACGAGTAACGGTCAATTAGTAACGGTTTTTCTACTCGACTTATTTACCTGAGTCAGTTACCTATTATGCTTTAGATATTTTAAATTGAAGGGAGATTACTCCACGTTTTGAAAATTGAGTGGAATTCCGTAGTGTTTTATCTTTCTCCAATTGCTCAGGTTTTCCTCAAGCCCGAAAACCTGACACGTCCTGAAATGGTCATAGATGTTATTAGGACGTAAACAACACACACAAACCAAACCAACCATAACCAAACCATTGACATTATTTTATGATTTTAATATTAACCTATACTTCCTATACCACCTATGCCCTCGTACATCAGCTTTACTTTCTATACCAGCTATACCCTCATACATCACCTTTACTTCCTAAAACATCTATACCTCCTACATCACTTTTACTTCCTATACCACCTATTCCCTCTAACATCACATTTGCTAACTATACTTCCTTTACCACCTTTACTCTCCTTCATTGCCTATACTTCCTATACATGTACCAACTTTACCTTCCTACATCACATTAGCTTCCTATTCCACCTATAACAACCTACATCACATATACTTCCTGTATCACCTATACCCTCCTACACCACCTTTACCTTCAATATCACCTATATCATCCTGCATCACCTATACTTCCCATACAACCTATACCCTCGTACATCACCTTTACTTCCTATACCACCTACCTTCATACATCCCCTTTACTTCCTATACCACCTACCCTCGTACACCAGCTTTACTTCCTATACCACCTACACCTCCTACATCAGCTTGATCTCATATACCACTTATACCCTCCTACATCACATTAACTTCCTATAATACCTATACCCTCCTACATCACATTAACTTCCTATAACACCTTTACCCTCCAACATCACATTAACTTCCTATAACACCTATACCCTCCTACATCACATTCACTTCCTATAACACCTATACCCTCCTAAATCACATTAACTTCCTATAACACCTATACCCTCCTACATCACATTAACTTCCTATAACACCTATACCCTCATACATCACATTAACTTCCTGTAACACCTATACCCTCCTACATCACCTGCATCTCATAATCCCACATATGCCATCATGTAGATCCCATATTTGTTAGTACTATGATTCATCTTTAACAGACTGTAAAAAACCCAAAAACAACTAACCAGGAATTTCATTTGGAAAAAGAATGAAATTAAATTTTGAAAATGATATTGGGACATTAAATTTACTTATATTATGTAAATAAATGCATATTTGATTATTTAATTCATTCATTTAGCCCCGAGACAATGCTTAATTGATTTATATGTCACAATGGTATTTTGATCTATTACGACAAGACTATTGTTAATTTTATCATCGTGTGCTAATTGCACATGTCAACATGTCATCACAGTGAAGTGGTATCACAACTGTTTGATCGAGAAATAACTTCATTAAAATTAATTATATCATGCACTTTTCAAATGATGAATATACTTTATGGAGCCAATTTGATAAATTATTTTTGATGAGCCTAATAAAATAGTTTGATACCAATCTTGCCATAACTTTAATCTAAACTGATATAAATACGTCAAAGCGATGAAGAAAACAGTAGCAAAGGCTAATAAATTAGAACAGATATTAGCAATTGCGAACCACTAATGGATTTTGAAGAGTATTGTTTTAACTTGTCAAGTTAATACATGTACAGCTTTACTACTTTATATCACTATCATATGTCTAATTTAATGTAAATGTCATTTGCTACAGTGTACATAATGTAGGGTATCTTGAAAGATAAGAAAGGATAAATCATGAAAAAACCCGTGGATGAATTCTGAAAAGAAGTTGAAGTATGATCATAAAGCGTCTTATGTATAAACTTATTTTATGTTTACCACATAGTATTTCAAATTATATTGATGCGGATAATGAGGCAGAAATGCATGCGTCCACAAATATCCTATTTAATCATATTAAATAATGATAAGGAACACATTTTAAGTAGGACATTTTTAAAATGTACTTTATTGTATGGGCATCTTTGTATGTTTGCTTATAATCGATTTTGACATATCATCTGGTTTTGTTCGATTATACAACAATTGATATTGCTGACAAGGAGGTAAAACTCATTAGCTTCACTAAACAAATGCTCTGTCCCTCGCAAAATTGAAATATTGCTCGCTATATCAACTAGTATGTCCATAAGGAATAGTAATGATACATGTTATATTGAAGACATTATCAGTTAATTTACCTGTTTTAAGAAATATAGTGTTCATCACAGCGTCAACTCACATAATCCAGATTAAATTTCAGAAACTTTATACAAAACTGAAGAGACATAAAATAAGAGAAAATAAATCATATGTTCTCATCAAAAACCAAGCTTCTTTGACCATGTGATCAAGAGTTTAAGTCACCTGTCCAGTTAAAGGTCACATGACTCACAGTGCTTAAACACTGTAATAAATGGCTTGTATAACATTTAAGGATTAACTTGAATATATTTTTTATATTATGGAGATATAACACAAAAAAACGGAGTGTACTCTAAATTAACCGCGAAGCTGTTTATGATGAGAATACACTCCGGTTTTTTTGTGTTATAGCTACTGCTACACAACATAAAAAATATATGCAAGTCAATCCTTATAATTTAATCTACTATACACAATCCCTGTGGACATCCACTTTTAATGATGGACTCTTTTCTCTTAGAAATTATTACGCCGTTGTATCAGCAAATCAAAAGCGACGTTACAAACGGCAACGTCATTTTTTACGTTATGGGTTGATAACATAAATTGTTAAGCCAATGAAAATGCTTGTTACAAGCAAGATTAAATTATATATCCATATCGCACAACTAGTGAAATATTTAAGAGTGACGCTTCAGTGATTAATTTATAATGGAAAACTCCCAAACAGTCAAACGTTCGCCCTGTGCCGGTATATTCCCAGTTTTGATTTTTATACGCATAGTTTTGTTTCTCATCAGGGGATAAAAGGATATGAACGCTGTTATAGTTAATGTGCAATTGGTCGACCCTTCACATGTGCAATCAATTCACGAGTTCATCAAAAAAGTAGTTGTTAGTGTTTCTTAGGCTTGATTACTTATTTTGCTAATGCTTTGTTTGGGGTTTACGTCCTCGCAGCAGCCAGGGTCATATAAGGACGAGAGTTTGTGACACACCATAACCTTTGCCTATAATTTATACTTAACATACTCAACAAGTGAATTAATGTTGTACAGTGTAGTAGTTTGATAAATCACGACAAAGAGTATTTCTTCGTGTACTATTGGATAAGGTGTGTTATATTACAAGCCTTAGTATGTCCACGACGCATGTTTCGGCTATTAATATCGCAATTAACAACACGGAAATTGAATTATGGGGTCAGCTGTTAATTACATCTGTCAAAATTATGCTAATTTCAATTTCATATACCGAGCATTGATTTTTCGTTTGTAAACCTGTAGTATGATATAGCATAGTAATACTATAGTATCACCCTATACAGTTATACATGTACGTCATGTAATGAAATAATTATATATTTGTCCACTTAAAAAACGAAATATGTAATTCCATTTATATTAAATTATATTAATATAATGAGCTTTTTCATGACCATAAATGTTTTTTCTTAAATAACCGATTATCATTTTTCATTTTTCCAGTGATGGTTTAGAATAAAATTGAAAGGTCCATCTCTAGAGGACATTGGTACGCAAAAAAATGAAAAGATTTCAGCACACGCAGCAAAATCGATAATAGAATGATGCACATAAATAAACCTTCCAATCAAAAAAATAATCCAGTCAACAGCAAGAATCATTACACGTAAATGTATTCCAATGAGTCACTTTCGGGTATTTCCATCACATTGGGAAGAAGTTGCATATTAATAAGCTAAAGTATGGTTAACGGAAATTTGCAAAATTGCCCTTTACAAATAACGAATTTTAAAATACTTATAGCTAAATCCTGATGTGTGTTGTATATCTGGACATATTTTGAATATTGTTTCTGCTATAAGGTGTACAGTGTTGTATGTGTTTCGCAATTACTAAGCCGTGTAAAAGTTAGCAGTTTCAGAGATGAAAATGTTAGCTTTGTACAACATATGGTATAAAGGCCTGACGTCGTTTTATCGCTTAAAAACCTAGGTCACAATGACCTAGGATGTGACATTTATCATCATGAACTATTGTGATATCAGGATTCACGGAGGAAAATTGAAATCATATGTTAAAAATAATCTTAGACAGAATAAGAACCATCAGATAGAAACAGATTCCTCAACTTGTAATGTCTGGTTATCAAGTTAATCTCAAGTATTTTACTTTCATAGATATTTTTTTTATATTAGCAAACATTAAGCCATTAAGTAAACATGACATCCGGTGGAAGTTCTGCATATGCATTTAATATATATAAAATACTTTTACATGCATCGATTATGCTTGTAACCAAATTGAAAGAAGAATTCTTTCAAATTTGTTTTTTGTCTGCATGCATGTATCCTTAAGTTTATTACATAGCTCGGCAGTGATTCATATTTCATTTATAGAGTAAGGCAAATTGTGGTGCCTTGTTTTTACAAGTCGCACGTGCTACATTTAAATGTAAAGATGGGATTAAAAGGTGCATTTTTCTAATTTCATGTTCAAATTCCGAACATAGCACATTTTCAAACACAAGACATCTGCATTGTCACGTTCTGCCTAGACGTAATGTCAAAAACCCACAGGTGGTGTTGAGGCACTTAGCGGTCGTCATATCGTTGAGATGTCTAAGCTTATCCGCATAAAGACAGGAGTAGCCGTGGTAAGCAGTCTACCTTGTTCGTTTGCCTGAGATTGCTGAATGACGTAAGGAAGTACTATAATGATATATTTAAGAAACATTCAGATCTGAAACAAGCACAGGTAAGTCAAAATATGTATTTCATAATATGTATGTCATCAAATATTTTGAACGACAAAAAATGTATATAGTGTTTTCTCATTACACATACTATTATCAAATATATCATCAACTTCTGTATTTCTATCAGGAAATCTGAGCGAAATACAACATGATATGTTACAACTGATTCCTATTGCTAATATAATATGTTTGCAACACCTATGTGCAATATCATGACTTGTCAATCATTGTTGTGTCTGTTCAATTAGAAAAAATGCTAAATTTCACGTTAGAATTAACATGATAATGAATGCATGACCTATTTATGTCCTGCATGTCAGTGTAACGACCTACGTCGTGTTATGATCTATTTAGCAACTTTTCTGTGACATTTATCGCCGTGTAAATGAAAAAGATAATATAATCAAAACAATTTACATGCTCGCTGCATGTACTCAGCACATCATTATTGTAATTAATACACTGTATTCACATGTTTTTAATTGTCCTGAAAAAATAAAGCAAAAAATGTATTATTTTTCCAATAAAATTAGTTTTGCATTGCAAGCATATGTTATTAATGAATAAATTTCTGCAAACGTAAATTCTAATTTTAACTCTTCTCGAACTTAAGATATTAACCTCACTAGTAATTGTACTAATTCCAGTTTCTTTATTTAGTATCCTTTTGTATGTATTGTGAGTGCGCTAATTAATCAATTCGCTAAACAGCTAAAATGGGTAATAAGCTAAAGTATGAGTCGGCTAAAATAAGTAATTTTGCTGTACTCTGAATATGCAATTTAAAGAAGTGTGATGTAATAATAAAGTATAAAACAGTACGATTATATAAAATACATGTCTGTTAAAATATTATGAAATATAATAAAAATGCAATGATAAAAACGTGTATTTTATGGGGTTTTGTTTCGTTTATGTATATTTTTTCATAGAGAGATGGACATAAACTACATAATACATACAAGCACGCTCTACTGTCACGATAGAATATATAAAACGTCTCTTATTAATTCAGCAGGACGCATTGATGTAATTTTTTTTATATTTCTTCAATTCTTATAAACGTCGTATTATTCATTTCTGTCAACTTTAAAGCATTCTAAAAAATTCGGAAACGTAATCTTAATTCACTTTATCATATGTTTGCTGTCACTGACGTTGTTGACGTAAAGGTATAAAATGTTTATCATAACTTTCTGTAGCATTACTCACAATTAAAGTAGGGAAAATGTAAGAAACTGTATCATTGCTTGGTGTTTGCCAGCTATAAAGTAATACTAAATATTCGGAAACATAACCTAAATTTAGTCTATTATGTGTTTACTGTCACTGTCGTTGTTGACGTAAACAGTATTAAATGTTAACCGTAACTGTCTGTAGCATTACTCAAAATTTAAATAGGGATAATATAAGACATCGTTTCATTGCTAGGTGTTTGTCAGCTATAATTTTATGCTAAATATATTTTGAAACGTAACCTAAATTCGCTGTATTATATGTTTTCTGTCACATTCGTTGTTGACGTTAAAAGGATTTAATGCTTAAAACAGCATTTTCTATCATTGCTCAAAGGTAAAGTAGGGGTATATAAGAAGTTGATCAGTGTTCGTTGTAAGTTGAATTTAAGTGTGATACATATACATGTTTATACAAGAATAACTCTAGATATTCATTTGTTAGTTATATAGCTACGTTGATAATGGTTTGCTATTCCGTAACAGTACACTGTAATAAGATAACATAACATTTGTCCTTTATCTTGTACTTTATTATTTGTTTACAGGACGGTGCACTTTAACAACCAAACTGTCGCTTTCTCAATACAATTCTGTATATAACATTGTCTTACTTTGCACCTGACAATCTTTATCAATTAACATTTCTGTATATAACATTGTCTTACTCTGCACCTGACAATCTTTCTCAATAACATTTCTGTATATAACATTGTCTTACTCTGCACCTGACAATCTTTATCAATTAACATTTCTGTATATAACATTGTCTTACTCTGCACCTGACAATCTTTATCAATTAACAATTCTGCTTTCTGTTTAACATCATATCTCAACTGCACGTAAGTATTACCAAAAAAAAACCTGCGTTCATAAGGTTATGATCAGCGTCATATTAAAGCTTCTCCTCCTGTCCCGAATAACATGCGGCAACCGTAAAAAGCTAACATTTTGGTGGCGTAAGGCTGTTACAGGAATATCATTTGCACTGACGACATAGATATTTCAATATCGAACATATGAGGTTTAATTTAAGATAGAAACTCATTACATTTATATTCATTTGTACACAGAGACACTTTTTTTGGTATACATTTATTTCTTTTCAAATAATAACATTGAAAGAGGATTCCTAAAAGAAAGTAAAAACATATCATATTACAAGTTCTTACATCACAACCTTTATTAAACTTGTATTATGAACGTGACAATTTCGATTCTCCGATCGCCTACTTTCCCTTCCTTTAAAGCAACATCGCTGCCTCCCCGCCTTTGATGTTCACAAGACGCAGTTGATTCAATACTAATGTAAATGTCCAAATTATCAGGGTTTCGTTGACATTTTAATATTGTTGATAGACAAACTCAGCATAGTATTTCGGAATATGCAATTTGGTAAAGACTTAAAGTAAGTTTATAGTCGTTATCATGGTATCATTTAGATATTTTTCTATTATCTGGTTTAATATGAATATTTGGGCTTATACTTTAGAACAATAGGACAATAGATTGTCATTACTTCAATTGAAACAAATTGTACGAAAACAATATTAGCAAAGAAAATACTACGCTTTGGCTGACGATTATATATATCATTGACAGTATTACATAATGTCAGATCACGAAATGAGATGATGTTAAGCAAACGTAACATATATAATCAATCAAATTCAGATGGGAAACAACAAAAAGTTCCCTCTGACTTGTCAGTATATACAGATGTTTGATCCACTTACAATGGGGTTTCTGACCACTTTTTAATAATCAAAGTTTGTAATTGTAATTAATTAGTGTCTGGTGTAGGCGCATTGAATAAAAGGTCCATTATACATTCCTGGAAAATGGTCGATCTCGGATGAATGATTACCTTTGAATGGGACGAACATGCAAACGATATCAATTTAATTTGGGGTTAATAGTTGCATCTTAATAACAATCTCATCTAAATGAGATAAATCTGTTTTTAACATTTCTGATATGGGAATAATTCGCTATACTATCAATGAGAATAACGAATTTCGTTTAATGAAAGCGCGAGCACTTTGGTTAAAATAAAAATGACCCTGTTAGCCGCAGCTATACTGACTTGAACTAATAGGTATGGTTCAGCATCTTGAATCAGACACAGAATGCTAGACAGGCACTTGTCAGAAGGACACACATTGAAATTTGTTAATTTGATATTAAACGAAAATAGAATCACGCTTCCGATTGCGCAAAAGAAAGAGTTTTACTCTTTCTTTTGGCAAACTTCATGACGTTCCGTTTGATGGCTCATCAGATGTTATTTTCCTTCTCACAGTTGACACGGATTAATCCGTGTATGCTGGCCTAAGACAAATTTTATTTTATTTTTAAATTAAATGGTTGTTATTTATAGGTCGGCTCTTTCTTTTCGGACGTAGCTTTACTTTGAATTAACCTATATTTTCTTGACTGGTTCAATATATGAAGCAAATGACCCATTATCTTCCAAAACACATGGTCATGTTCCTCTGTTAGTTTTCTCAAAGCCTCCTGTAGTGTTCATGTTTGTTCATATCTAGTTTTATCGCATCTGTTGACATTTCGGTATTTACTTCCAATGCTTTTAAAAGGTAATAATTGTTATTCAACAACAAGACATCATCGATATATTTCAATGTCGAAATGTATGGTTCCACATTTGGATATTCATTTTGCAAATGCCAGCAAAACGTTAGAATCTTCAATATTTTGATTTAAGAGAGAACTGATTGATAAGTTGTGACGTTTTGTCTTATGCTCTACTATTTAGGGTTGCGGAACAATATTTCATGGACGGTTAATGAAAGGCTAAACAATACTGTCAAGTTATTTTTTCGATCGTTTGATATTTAGCTGATTCACACAAACATGTCAAGAATGTCCTTTCTCCGGATTTATGTTTCAAATATGCCAAACTATTTAACTGTTTCAGGAAAGTTACAATGGAAGGTTCAATTTCACTTATCTTACTTAAAACATTGTTGTTGTCGTTTTTTCTTACTTTAAATGTAAAATCAAGTATGTCTTCTGAGCAAATTTCACAAAAGTGTCAATAGAGTTTGGTCATCATACCTGTGGTACATTTTCAGTAAACACAAACATTTCAAGGAGTTTGTTTGGGTGTTTTAACATTTACTGATGTAAAAAAAATGATGACAATAGGTCAATCTCTTGATCAACCTATCATGAATCACATACTAGGCAGAATATGTTACAGTGAACATTCAATTTCATTGTGCATATGATAAAACTTCTAAGGTGGGTCCATTCTTTTGGAAAAACCCATGTCATTTTTTTTAATAAGGCTTATTTTCTTGCGTTTTTTACGTAGATTCCCTACATGAAAAGTAAAAAAGGGGGTTCCCGACCCACCTTTTGAGATATTTAAGCTGAAATGTAGCCACTTTTCTGAAATGTCCCCCCAAATTATGAAAATTGAGTAAAAATATGTTTTCTACAATATTTACAAAACTTAAAGGGACTGGTCGGGGAAGAAAAACAAAATAAATGGGTCTAAATGCGTTCTCTGGCCTTCCAAAAGTTAAACCACGGCAATATGATGGTCGAGTTCTGCTTTCAATGTCCAGTTTTGACCACTGAAATTTCGGGGAAGCCCCGCGTAAATTTAGCGCAGATCTATTTATATATGTCACGTGTTTGTTTCGAAAGTGAGGCAGTGAAGATAACAACAATAGCACGCCGTCATGTGCCATGTCGGACTCAACTAGAGGACAAGACAGGACTATACGTAAAAAAAT